AGTAAGGATGTATACACTGATTTTTTTCTCTCAATGCGTTATTTTAATAAATACCTCATGGGTGAAAGAGACAGGCTGGAGGCCTCGATGAACGTACCGACAGGTGGCAGACGGGGCCTGCCAGACGGCCTGACTTTGAGACGGGTAGGATCAGATTTGTAACAGAATTTGGAGGGAGACTCACTTTCACTGAAGCCTGGCAAGAAATCTGGGGAGAGGGGGCAACAACCCTCATCTACCTCAAATCCCTTCAGTGGCCACTCTTACCTACCAAGAAGCCAGGAGTTATTCATTCCAAAACAGCAAACTCCTGCCATGAGGCGGCTGCAAACAGCCTCTCACTGTCAGATTAGTGCAGAGCAGGGTCAAAGCCCAGTAATTTACCCTCCACGCTCCCGGGGACACATGTCAGGCTCCTCCAGGGGCTCCCCAGGGCTCCACTCCAGTCCCTGGCAAACATCCAGCTGCGGAGACTTCAGCCTCTCCTCCCAGCCAGCACCCACTTGATTCTGTGCCTTCCTGAAGCGCCCTCACGAGGCTGCAGGTAGAGGGAAAGACTCTGGTCTTTCTGCAGGTGACAACCCCAATTCTGCGCAGATAAGCAGGCACGGGCGTTTTCTCACAGCCTTGTGCCTCTGCTCATGTTGTTACATTGGCCAGTCTCCTTGCCTATTTCTAATTGCTACTCCTTCAAGAATTAAGTCAAAATTATTTTTTATTAACACAAAAAATACGAATTGATGCCACTCAAGCACTGCTTCTTCTAGAACCCCGGGTACATATTGTATATACACACCATCACGTGTATACATACCACTGCGGCACTATCACACTGCACTATACCCTGTCCTGTGTCTGCTGTATACACACCACTGCGGCACTACCACACTGCACCAGACCCTGTCCTGTGTCTGCTGTATACACACCACTGCGGCACTACCACACTGCACCAGACCCTGTCCTGTGTCTGGTGTATATACACCACTGTGGCACACTGCACCGGACCCTGTCCTGTGTCTGGTGTATATACACCACTGTGGCACTATTGCACCATACCCTGTCCTGTGTCTGCTGTATACACACCACTGCGGCCCTATCACACTGCACCATATCCTGTCTTGTGTCTGCTGTATACACACCACTGTGGCCCTACCACACTGCACCGGACCCTGTCCTGTGTCTGCTGTATACACACCACTGCGGCCCTATCACACTGCACCATATCCTGTCTTGTGTCTGCTGTATACACACCACTGTGGCCCTATCACACTGCACCGGACCCTGTCCTGTGTCTGCTGTATACTCACCACTGCGGCACTACCACACTGCACCGGACCCTGTCCTGTGTCTGCTGTATACTCACCACTGCGGCACTACCACACTGCACTGGACCCTGTCCTGTGTCTGCTGTATACACACCACTGCGGCCCTGTCACACTGCACCGGACCCTGTCCTGTGTCTGCTGTATACACACCACTGCGGCACTATCACACTGCACTGTACCCTGTCCATTGCCCTAATTATTTCCCCATCAGAACACGAATCCTTCTATGTGGTGCCCAACGCACAGAATACACTTTTTAAATGACTGTTAAATAGAACAGTGGATAAAACACATTTGCTGAGTTTAATTTATTCCTACTTCTTTTCTTTTTTTTTTTTATAATCCTCATCTGAGGATTTTTCCATTGATTTTGAGAGAGTGAAAGGGAGGAGGAGAGACAGAGAGAAACATCAATGTGAGAGACACACTGATTGGTTGTCTCCCACACACACCCTGACCAAGGCCAGGGATGGAGCTTACAACCGAGGTAATGTGCCCTTGACTGGAATTGAACCCAGGACCCTTCAGTCTGCGGGCTGACGCTCTCTCCACTAAGCCAAACTGGCTAGGGCTATTCCTACTTATTGTGATGCAACTTGCATTTCTCTGCTTCCTTCCTCTTTCAAGTCCTTCTAATCCACATGCGAGACCCTGAGGCATCTCTCCACAGCACTCTCAGGCAGTGAGTGGGCCCTGGGACCTCCACCTGGCTGTGAAGGCAGCTGAGATTTGCTCCCACTTCCCTCTTACAGCCATGCCACAGGCACCATGATGCCTGGCCACAGCTAATTTGGCCAAGATCATGAGGAAAACAAACACTGAAAGGGTGAGGTAAGTAGCATAATTTGTTGACCTTGCTCAGACTCAGTCTAAAATTCACAGTAACTAAAATAATTTAGGAGAACATAAAGGATAAGCCGGCAATCTCCACAAACATCAAATGTAGTAAAAAAAACAAACAGGTGACAGCATTCACAAAATCTAAAGAACACACAATCTATTTTATAATGCATAGGTTCAACCTTCAATCTCCTTCTAATGGGCTTCCACTAGGGAGATAAAACTATTCTAAAGGAAAATTGTACACAGAATAAATGTATAAGTTTCTTGGTGATTCTCACTAAGGCTTCAATGTATTTTCTTACTGAAACAATCAACAACATTCTGGGCAAAAAGATATGATATTGGTGTCAGAACAATGTAAGAATTGAAATTATCTATAATGCATAAATTTTGCTTAATTCAGGTGTCACTTATTTTTCTCATTTTGAAAAGAAGCTACGTTTCATTCAATAATAATTCTTCTCTAGTTCTATCAGGGAATCTGTTCTAAAGCGATGCTTCACCTAAAATCAGTTCTGAAGGCTCTTTCATGAATACGCATAATGCAAAGACCCCAATTACATTTCCAACAAAGCCACTGCCTTTTGAGTAAACAGAGTTATCTCAATAGGTCACATTATTTGCAAAATTGCAGCTTAGAAATTAATTACTAGTGTGGCATATGTCAAAACAAATTTTTAAAAGAACAGAATGCAATTGTAACCATGTGTTCTATCTATTTGTTTGAATATGAAATCAGTATTCTCTGGCATGTAAATATATTTATATATTCAGCACCTCTCAGAAAAATAAAAAAGTCCTGCCCCGCCTTTCCCCTGCACCCAGGCAAAACCTGAGTAACTAGCTCATGTTTACTAAGTCAGAGCCTAAGAACAGAATGAAGACATGGTGCAGGGGATACTTTTGAAAGGCAGAAAGAAGTCACCTTCACACAAATGACTAATTTTGAAACATTCAGTTTGCCTTCAAAAGAAGTTTTTCAAAGATATACATCACCTACACCAAAGCTTTAAATAACAGTACAGGTGTTTCATAAAGAAGACTAATCTATAGCAGCGATTTTTAACCTGTGTGCCGCGAGAATTTTTAAAACATGCAGTACCTGACTGTTTAGTCAGGGGCACTGACCTCTTTTCCTTTAGATTATCAAATTTAAAAATGACAACAGCCAACACAACAATAGCTGTCTGGTGAATGAATCAAAATTATACCTGTGTGTTTTCTTTTGTTTTTTGTCTGATTGGCAAAAAATATATTTTTGGTGTGCTGCAGAATTTTAGTAATTAGTTTATGTGTGCCATGAGATGAAAAAGGTTGAAAATCGCTATCTATAGTATTAAAAAAAAACAAAACCAAAAAAAAACCCTACCTGGGAATGAACTTAGGGATTTGAAGGAATTTCAGTGTTCTGCTGATGATGACAATATTTACTTAAATTAAAAACAATTTCAGAGGTGAAAGTGTTGTAGCATCTAAGGAACACCAAATAGAAAACAAGAATACGGAGCAGATATAGGCAGATACTCTTCTGTGTTTTCCTTCATGGAAATTATGTCCCGCCCTGACCAGTTTGGCTCAGTGGATAGAGCGTCGGCCTGCAGACTGAAGGGTCCCAGGTTCGATTCCAGTCAAGGGCATGTACCTTGGTTGCGGGCACGTCCCCAGTGGGAGGTGTGCAGGAGGCAGCTGATCGATGTTTCTCTCTCATCGATGTTTCTAACTCTCTATCCCTCTCCCTTCCTCTCTGTAAAATATCAATAAAAAAAAAAAAAAAGAAATTATGTCCCAATCCTTTTCATAGTTATACAAATATCAAATCATTATGTTGTACACTTTAAATGCTTTACAATTCTATTTGTCAATTCTATCTCAATAAAACTGAGGGGAAACCATAGAATTTAAGCTCATTTAAAAAGAAAATAAAATTATGTCCTAAACAAAAGACTTTTATCTCACATTATCTGTAAATCAACTTTTAAACTTCAAACAGCCCTTTTATATGAGGCAAAAATTAAAACATGCTTCTAGCAGTAATATACTGAAATCACTCTGCTTTAAAAACAAAACAAAACAAAAACAATGGGAGTGGGGGGAGGTACAAGAAATCGACCACATTGAATCATGGGACTTTAGAGTTAGAAGGCACAGGGGATAAAATGGCTTGTGGGCCAGGACTCCAGGCCAGAGTACACTTCCCAGTTCATCAGATTGTTACCAGGAAAATAAGAACTAACTGTATGATACAGACTTCTGAGACACTTATCTCTCAGGGTGCAACTTTCCTGACCAATTTCTCACAAATTCTGTGTATTAACTTAATATCTTACCTTGCGTAGTTATTTCCTAATATTCCAGCTACAACAAATACTTACCACTCTAGAATTACCATGAAGCTATAGGGTGGTTGTTCAGCAAACCAATTCATTTGACCCATTTGTTACATGTAAGAACCAAGACAAGACTAAAGAGTGTTTTAAAAAGAGATCTTAGCCCTAGCTGGTTTGGCTCAGTGGATAGAGTGTCAGCCTGAGGACTGAAGGGTCCGGGTCCAATTCCAGTCAAGGGCACATGCCCGGGTTGCAGGCTTGATCCCCAGTAGGGGGCGTGCAGAAAGCAGCCGACCAATGATTCTCTCTCATCATTGATGTTTCTATCTCTCGCTCCCTATCCCTTTCTCGCTGAAATCAATAAAAATATATATTTAAATAGAAAATAAAAAATAAGATATCTTAATTTCCCTTTTTAACTTTTTAAACCAGTTTCTCCAAGTAAACCCACAGAACAAAGCATATTGTTTTTCTGTACTTCAATACTGGAAATTAAGTTAGTTACCTCTCTTAAAACTGTGCTTTTGTAGCCTCGATACAATCCTGGGATGCCCTGAAACAAACAAAAGGAAAGACGAGATAGCAGAAATTTTAGGAAGACATTCTGAATAAAGCACAGTAAGCTTTCCTAAAGTTTGAGTTTTAAAACGTCCACAATGACCACAGTTCTGCAAGAAGTTAAAGGTTCTAACTGCTCCACTCCTTTAAAATGGAAATATCTCTAATAATAAAACTGACTACATATTAATTTAGCTTTAGTTGCTTTCAGTATTTCTTCTCCTGAGAATACTTGAGCTTTAAATGAATAGATTTCCAAAAGCAAATGCACATAGAATGTTGATTATCTTTTCATATGAAAACAATATATTTCATGGTTTCAATCAGAAGACATCAGAAGTTCATTAATAACCTCTCAATGGTGTACCTCTGGAAAAGCCTTCGCTTATCTGTTTCAACGTCCACATGATTCTTCAGGAACCCTCTACTGGGCTAACTCACTCATACAATTAAACACTCGCATCTCCTCGAGGAGACACACGGACCATTAAGAATAATTTTTCTACAACCTAGACTCATTGAAATTTCCATGTGATTGACTTTGGTAAAAATATTTTTTAAGTTAACATTTTTAAAGGCCTCTGTAGGAACTATGAAGGAAAGCAGCTCAACGGCTCCTAGTCACATGGCCAGCAGGATGACTTCTGACACACAGCTTAACACTAACCAGTAAAAGGGGATTACAGTTGATATAAACACTATGATGTTGGTGACAGTCCATTACTACACTTCTCTTCCATGAGCCCTCAAATTCTGTAGTGATGTTTTCATATATCTTCATTTAGTCTACATATTTACTATTTATTCCATGTCTGATTCCAAAAGAACTATGGATGATTACAATGTAGGACTCATACAGTAGGGGCACTCAATATGTGTTTGTTTAGAAATTAAAAAAGAAAATTCAAAAACAAATACAGGAAAGAAAACTATAATCTTAGCATAGAAAGTTACTGCAATTGAACATTAAATTTAGCTGTAAAGTCTCTTCTAGGACTCCTGATACAAGACTCACAGTTCTCATACTAGCTGCTATAAAATCTCTCTCAATAAAGAAAAAAAACTTAAAGACATATCTCACCTCTTGATATAAGATGTTAGAGAAAATCTGAAATGTTCTTGAAGAAGCAGAAACCTGTGCCCTCTGCTTAACTACTTCAGAAGGAACTCGAATCAGGCAGGCCACCTAAAATATATAAATTTAAGTACATCTAAAAATTAAGTAACTGGAATGAAAATTGAAATTTTTTCATAACCAAAAATTACATATATATATACATATATATATATATATATATATAGCTAATATGCTAAGTGTCCCTCCCTCCATCCGACCAGTCGCTATGATGTGCACTGACCACCAGGGGGCAGACGCTCAACGTAGGAGCTGCCGAGTTGCAGTGACTTGGCAGCAGTGATTCTCGGGTGACGTACCCTGACACCAGAGAGGAGGGAGCCCAATTCTTCGTGGGGCCACGCAATTCCAACTTTGGCCGTGGGTTATGTTGTTGCTGGGGCACTGTTTGCCCCGAGTCTGGTTTACTGCACACTTGCGTTTGCATTCCACACAGCAACTTTGCAGAGTGTCTTCTCGCACTCCAGGAGCCTCGGGGGATGTTAGAGAGCCGGTTTCGGCCTGATCCCCATAGGCCAGGCTGAAGGACCCTACCAGCCGGAGGGACCCCACTCACTCCACGGACACCTTTTGAGCTACAGTGCAACCCCAGGTGCAGCCGGCTGGGAGGGACCACGGGAGATTGGCTCCAGGGCATGTCCAGCCCATCTCACCCAGTCCCACCCCACCAGCCACCTTCTAATTAATTTCCTTTCAATGTACACAAATCCATGCACCAGGTCACTAGTAGTATAACGTATAGGCTTAGTGCAAGATGTCAAAAAGTTTGTGTTTCTTTTAGCCTAAAACACTGGGAACCAGCCAGGGTTCTTGTTCCAGCATTAAGAAAGGTTCAGGAAATCTGGAGAAGGCTGTGCGTAGATTAAATAGGAGACCAGAGATGAAATATAATTTTGAAAGGCATTTGGGGGTCAGAGGAGCCTAGTTTAAAGAAAACTAATATCTCCTCGTCTCAGGACCCCATGCTTTTTATTAACACAAATTGTCCTGAGGTGAGGCAGAGATATACACTTCAAAAGGGTTTCATATACAGAGGCATTGTCAGAATGGGGAGAATTAGCCTACGGCTGTTCAGGTGTTTGGCCAGTAGGAGGCAATAACATGTAGATTAAGATGCTCTGAGCTGTCTGGCAGCAAACAATCAATTTAATGTATCCTATTCAGGTTTGGGGAAATGCCAACAGCTATTCCCAGATTCAGCCCTGCTGTCATGCTGGAATTGGCTTCCGGCAGAACCCTTAGTGGACATGCATTGTTTTATCAGTCCCAAACCTTCTCTCTCTTGTTCTGTACAGACCTCCCAGCTCCCGCCACACTGTTCCAAGCACATCTGTCTACAGGCCCCTGGACAGCAAGAAGCACATTTACTCATGTTGAACCCAACACCTACTGTACAACATCCTGGTGTTCACACGACAGCCATGTCTGACAAAAGAATGAACCAATTGACAGTGCCTTTGCTTCACTGGAAGTAATAATTCACAAGTTGGTAGAGGCAAGACTACTCATAAGCAGGTTACCCCAACCTTCCATCTCACCCCCATGCAGCCTCAACCAGCTCCTGGCCCCAGAACCCCAGATCCCCACCACACAACAGCTGAGGAGTAACGTCAGGCACTCTCAGACCCTGCTCCAGCATTCAAGGTGACAGGTCTGGTTGGTCCATACTCACACCTGACTAACTTTAACATCCTCCTTCATGATATGCCAGTGAGAGGTGATGCCACCTCTCACACACACTTGTCACACAACTGGGCAAGAAGAACAGATCTCCTCCTTTTTTTTTTGATGCCCCCCAGAAGTGTCCACTTGCACATGTGACATGGCCACCCCATTAGGACAACTGAGAATATGTATATCTAACAAAGGGTTAGGGCAGTGGTCGGCAAACTGGGCTCGCAGGCCACATGCGGCTCTTTGGCCCCATGAGTGTGGCTCTTCCACAAAATACCGACTTCTGCACATGGGCCATGAAGTTTCAATTGCACTGTACATGCGCGCCTGCACGTGGTATTTTGTGGAAGAGCCACACTCAAGGGGCCAAAGAGCCACATGCGGCTCGCGAGCCG